AAACTCCTTATCTGGTGGGCGGCGACGCAAGGGCTCGTTTGTGAATAATTTTGGTCCGTCTTTTCCATCTGCCGCATCCATTTGAAATAATTCCGCGTGTCAAATGGAAGTGGAACGTAACGGGACCGCCCGCTCAAGCCTTGATAGACATGATAGATCGTCTTGGTAGCTTCCTACAGAGCTGAAATTACTTCAGTACTCAAAGTGTTTGCTACTTACTACACTCCTTACTAGTTAAACCCAACTGATAATATTGTTTTGGGTAATTTTTTGCGGCATGGCTCAACCTGTTGGTACAGGATATCGCGCCAGGGCAGTTCGATAGCCAATTGGAGCGTCTGGAAAGCAAAACAAAATCCGCTTGCATTGTGATGATGATTGTGGCAAACCAGTAAGTATTGCTGAATGTCCATTAGTCCATTTACGAACAGGCCTACATTTAGTTTTAACGGAAAGACTATATAAATCTTAGGGTTCAAATTCAAATTTTCATTCCTTCTTATCCCAAATCTAGATTGTATTGCTTTATGGGGACTCACAATGGCGGTCCATGGTTGATGGCCACGTTCCTGTTATGAAAACAGAACATTTTGAAATGGGATTCAACTGTACACCCGGAGGGACTGTGCATCATATTAAGCAGGTATTACTTTAACTAAGGAAAGTGACACAAAATAGAACTCTGTATGAGTCTGATCTACCGAAAAGTGCATTCGGTATTTGTGCGCATAAGGTGCACATAATCGAGAAAGAACCATGCGCAAGCTGCATCGAGTCATTCAAATATCATTGGTTATTGCGGGGAACAGATGGCGCATTTGGTGGGGTTTTTTTTCGCAATCAATTTTTTCTGTTGGTATTATCTGTACTTATTCCCAGCCATGTTTCATGTATAGAAATAATATTTAATAAAAAAACCGCACAACATGGTCGCTGTGCTGTGCCGGATAACTTAAAGGGACATGTTTTTGTTTATATACTTACATGTATTTAAGGAGTCGTGCGAACACCAACCCACCCCCCGATACACAAATGACATTTATTCAGTGACAAGAGTTGTTACTCATTATTGATCTACCCTCTACTACAGTTATGCTGACAGATTTGAATCGAACCGTTGCTGTATGAACTGTCAACCCTGCTCATGCGGCATATTAACAAGAGTTGCTTACCCGTATTATTTCTTTTCTAACAGGGCAATCAGTTCATCTCTCAGTTTGTGTAGTTCTTTATGCTTTGAAACTGCCAGAAGGGTAAATTTATTCCTAAAAGTCATACAACTTGAATATTAATCTCGTACAGGAACTTCGCCAGACTTCTCTTAGTAGAAATCCGGCCGTTATCGTCTTTTCTGTTGGCACGAACGACATAGCAAACGTTCGGTGCAGCTTGGACAAGACGTGCAGACTTCAACCGTCTGGTGGATCTTGCGCGAGAGACTCACCGAGATAGCATGGTATGTTGTGTTTGATACAGTGATGTACTAACCCCTACCGCCACCCTCCCACACACACATCCACTTACAAATGCGAATAAAAACTTACAGCAACACAAACGGCGCACATGTTGAGTTGTCACTTTTACTCCGACTTTAATTATTTGTCTCTACAAAACACATACATTTTTTTGTATTCCCTCTTGCAAAACATCCGTAGACCGTTGCGAACTAATGTTCAACAGAAGTGATCGTCTCTCCTTTTAAAAAGTACTTCAAAATAGCTACTACACGCGGCAATACGATCTTCTATTAAAACTATCTAATTCGCATTTTTTTTATCTTAGTACAGATTTTGTTGGTTTTCATTCCTGTGGGAATCTTTTTGGATTCATAAGAAAACCTGTTATGACTTTCTGCTCACTGTAAAATGGACTCTTATAGACCCCTAGGTCATTAGAATAGTTTAACCATGGGTAAATGCAACATATTAGGCTCAAGCTGTTGCGATAATTTTTGATGTGTATTTACCTATTTCTCTATAACTTCGCATTTTGCAGACATCCCCTCGCTTTGCCGCTTTTTTGATAAAAGCTTAAACGTGTTTAAAGAATCGTTCCCTATTGAAAATAAAATATAGGATTACGTGTATACTGCAAATGAGTGCACACCAGTATTATTTGAATAAATGAAAACATCGTTCTTTAGAAATTAAGGAATATCGTGGAAGACGATCAGTGTACGGGAGATAAAAAAAATCAGCTAATAAGTTGATAGCAATTCTGAATTGCTGTTATATCGTGATATTCTGCAGTAAAATGTTTTTCAATATTTATTTTGGTTTATCTAGTATAGAGAATTGAAAGCCAGCATACATATAGTTTGCTCAGACTAACACAACCTGCTTCTTTCAGATTGCTATTACATCAATATTACCCCGGCTGGACAACTTTGCCGATTCCGTGCCAAGATACAATAATTTCATACACCAATTATGCAAGAAGCGGAACCTACATTTCATTGACACCGAAGAAGAATTTCCTCAGCGGCATCATTGGCTATGGTCTTGGGATGGGTTGCATGTGAGTGACGATTATGGCGCACCTCTGCTTCTGGAGGTAGTGCAAGCATCTTTGTCGAAGGCCC